ACCTACACACAGGTAACCTCAGATCATTATAATTATCACTAATTATCATTATCATTATCACTACTTATCATTATCTTATCACTAGTTATCATTATCATTATCACTACTTATCATTATCTCACAAAATATAACAATAACAATAGGTTCAATTTACCTACAGACGCAAGTAACCTACAGATCATTATCACTACCTTACAAACTATAACAGTAATAAGCTAGTCACTAGAGACAAAACAACAAAATAAGTGTCATCACCTCAGAGAACTCAGGCTGAATGGTGGTGCTGTGAATGCAGTTGTCGTGGAACAGTGTTCTGATCTGGTCTGCGGCCGCCAGGTAAGCCTTCAGATCCGAGAACTTTATGTGCACTGTGGCGATGATGCGTTCACCTACCAAACGCCACACGTGAAACTCGTGCACCGCTAACACTCCATCTATCTGAAATTACTATCATTATCACTGCTACTTATCACTATCTTATCACCATCTTATCACTATCTTATCACTGATGATATTGCTATACCACTCGATTTCGAACAAAACTTTCCTTCCCATCCGCGAACGGGAATCGAACTCGCCATGTACTAATTACCATTCGATTGAGGCTCTATCTCGACCGTTCACAGTCTCTGCCGAGTGGTTTTGCTATCTTATCACTACTTATCACTATCTTATCAATATTATCACGTGATTCTGTTGCCTCCTGGCCAGCCCCAGCCATCGCTTCGCTCAAAACCAACTCAATAACGCACCTTCAACAACGAACTCTGCAGCTGCTCGATCTCGATAAAGCCCGGTGTTGTCTGCATTAAAATCAACGCCGTCTCTCGCACCAATGGGAATGTCGTTCCAACCATAAGACACACCATCATTAAACTAAAATTTACTTCATCTAATTCGATACACCACCTCAAATCACTGCCAGCTTTATCATAGACTGCGCTGTGTCTGCCCATAAGCGGTGATCGATCATAAGCATCATAAAACAATCCGATCAAATCAACAAATCAATATAATTATAATCATTCCATTCGCTAAACCCTCATCATCACATCGCCTTTCCTCATCTAAACCACTCCAAAATACAGTCCAATTCCAGATACAAGCCAAATCAGAGCCTGCTGCTGCTGCTGCTGCTGCTGCTGCTGCTGCTGCTGCTGCTGCAGGCTCAACTTCAACCATCGCATTCCCGGCTACACCACCGAATCGCCAAAAAATTTCCTTGATGAAACATTTTCGCATTCCATCTCCTTCTACACAACCATGCATCCATCCATCCATCCACTCACCGAGAGATATTCACCAGTATCCACGACACGATAGATAGCTCAGAATAACAACAAACAACAATAGCCACAATAAAAACATAGAACAACCAACCTTAGACCCGGATCCAGATACAATTTGAGCATCTCATAACCAGGCACTAACCACGATATTAATGCTGTTATTATGACTATTACAGAGCCAATCGCATCGCCCAACACATGCAAAAATACACCGTGCATGTTCAGTTGAGAGGCAGCACCTTTAATCAAAATAAATCACTTACAAATTGAGCAGCCATCATCAAAAAATACCAATAAAGCAGCAGCCAATAACCTTTCCCTTTGGAATGTGAGTGTTTTTTATCGAATTTACTGCTGCTGCCAGTGCTGATGTGATCGTCGTCGTCGTCATTCATCATCAGCATCATATCCCCAATGCCCCTCTCGAGATCGTCGTCGTCGTCGTCTTCCATCCCATTTCGTGCGTTATAATTCAACTCTGCCAACGCTAACGCTCCTTCCTGCAATCTCTTATCATTATCATTACATCTCTTTACAATTACAAATCAATCTCTTATATCCTCAACAGCTTAAGCAATTAGTTGTCTTATTATTCACTACTGATAACGATCATAATGAAACCTGATAATGATAATAACGAAATCTGATAATGATAACGATATCAATGACAGTGATAATAATGATAACGATATCAACGAAGCCTGATAATGATAGTGATAATAATGATAATGAAACCTGATGTGACGACATCAGATGCTGACTCTCGAAGCCATCAATAGTAACGTGTGTTTGACGTCGTCCACTAAGAGAATCAGATGCAGGCACATCTGCTTTACCATTCTCTTTGCCATGTGAATGCGAATGACCTGAATGCGAATAAGAACACACTTCAATTAAAAACAATAACTAATTATTACTTACTATGAAACATGAAAATGCCGATGATGTTGATCAAGAGTCCGATCGTGCCCACCACCAACACCTGCCTCGGCTCTTTGATCATCTCGGGCTCTACGAGCCTCGTCAGTGATTCGATGGCTATCGAGAAACACAACGCCAACAGGAAAACACCATTTATGAGTGCACCCAACACCTCGGCTCGAACCCAACCGAACGTGTTCTTCTTCGATGATCGTTCTGACATCTCAAATCAAATCACTCACTATTAAACAAAACCGCAACTAATTAATAACAGTCATAATCAAGTGATTAAATTTAAATGAACTTTAAGCGAATTAAATGAATAAGTGAACTCTTTAAGTTAATTGAAGTATTTCAAGTAAATAATTGTAACTTAATTAACCCAATTGAACTTAAGTAACTTAATTGAAGTTAATTAATTGAAGTAATTAAGCGAATAAGATTAAATGAGTTAGTTCACTCACCTTCAAACAAACATAGGCTATCAGAAGCGCCATCACATCGCTTAACATATGGAATGAGTCGGCAATGAGCGCCATCGAATGCGACAGATAACCGCAGAACATTTCTACGATGAAGAACATGAATGTCATCGATAACATGATGATGATCCGTGCGCCTCTTGTGATCAATCGCTTCTTTCGATGCCCCTTTATCGATACCCCTCCGCCGTTCGGCTGTGTCTCCTCCTGTTCCTGCTGCAGCTTGTTACCCTTAGCCTTAGCCTTAGCCTTAGCCTTACCCTTGCCCTTACCCACCAACGCCACCGAACCGTTATCACCGTTCGCAGCGTTATCGTCATCGTTATCGTCCACACTCGTCGTCATCATATCATAAAAGTTATTTTGCTCGCCCCCACCCCTCTTCCTCACCAAATCCTCACCGTCCACTCCAATCCTTGGCTGCTTCGATGATAATTTCTTCTTAATTGCCTCTTGGCTATTTTCAGCATTCTTTTTATTCGTCGTCTTCACCTCATTCCTATCCCTATCCAACGTCGTCTCAACATTCGCTTTCTTCAGCGCCACATTATTATCGTCCTTCATCACTCCTTAAATACAACAATAAATAATTATTATTATAACAATGCTCACAATAATAATAACAATACCACCGAATCAATCAATCAATCAATCAAACTGCCTAAGATCAATAAAGCAGAAATACGTCACTTTCGTCATAGATATGTCATCAAAGAATATTATTCAAACAGCAAACACATTCCATAACCAACTCAAATAACACATAGCACAATACTCGTGAATTGCCCTTTTCCATGAACACTACAGTGACGATAACACTTATGACAATCATATCAGTAATAATAGCCATAATAATAATAATAATAATATTAATAACAATAATATTCATAATAACATTAACAATAATAATATCAATAACCATAACAATGTTAATGACTGCGGACTATGCGCTCAACTGGGCAACCTTATCGTTGACGCCGCCTATATAAAACCATTAGCTTCGAGTTGAGGTGCACCTGCTTGAGCCACACCTGAGACTGAGAGCAGGATACTGGGCCTGAGGTCAGTTCAGTTCACTACGAGCGTGGGATGGGATGGCATGGGATTGCATTCCCCCTTCACATTGAGCACGTTCAATATTTTTCTAACTGAGTCAGTGAAATAATCGTCGCTATCGGTTGCGCCATCCACGGACGGCACTTCCGCCTTATGAATCAACAATACTCAATAATATCGAACCAGCTTCACCTCTCATATTCACTTACTGGAATTCTTCTCAGATTACCCTCAATAGTAACTCTAAACGCGCATTCGTACAAATCAAAAGCACATTCCTTCCATTCGTACTCGTTCGCAATCGAATCGCATTGCACTCGTCTACTGAGAGCACACTAACAATAAAAACGGTTCGCAACGGCACCTTACTTCATTAAGAACGGACCCACCCATCCACGCTTGTTACAGTACTACTTAATAAGTAAGTATACGCTTGTTACAGTACTACTTAATAAGTAAGTACACGCTTGTTACAGTACTACTTAATAAGTAAGTAGACCGCATTTGATCATTACATAGAAATCCTGAGGTGAGTACTTAATAATAACAAATTAAAACTAAAGTATTTTTGCCCAAAATTTTGCCCTTCACACCTTTTTGGATCATTTCAGTGGTTTATTAACAAGTGAACAATTAAAAATAATACGACAGAGTTGTGGTTGTCTTAATTGAGGCTTTATCAAGCAGGTGGTGTAGATGGATGACCCCTAGGGGTAGATGACAGACAGCACACCAGATGGGTCCGAGAGAGG